CCGACGTAATCGCCTTGAGTGGTGCGGACAACGGTCACTCTGGGATCAGGATGGAACAGTATTGTCTTTAGTGACGAGTCTCGATTTTGTTTAGGCATGCACGATGGTCGTGCCAGGGTTAGAAGGCGACGTGGTGAAAGGAGGAATCCACAGTTTTTTGTTGAAAGACATGTTCATCACACTGTTGGAGTTATGGTTTGGGGTGCTATAGCTTATGGTTCCAGGTCACCTTTAATCTTCATCAGAGGTAACATGAACGCGCAGCGTTATATCCACGAAGTTCTAGAACCCCATCTTTTACCCTATCTTGACACCCTGGCAGATCAAACTTTCCAACAAGATAATGCCCGACCACATGTTGCAAGAGTCACAATAGACTTCTGCCAACATAATGATGTCACATTGTTACCATGGCCACCAAGATGTCCCGACTTATCCCCAATTGAGCACGTGTGGGATATGATGGGTAGGAGATTGCTCAATTTGCAACGTCCTCCTCAGACTCTAGAAGCACTTCGAGAGGAGTTGGAGGCCTGGAATGAGATACCACAGGAGGACATTGACCACCTGATCAGAAGCATGCCTAGGCGCGTTGGAGAATGCATAGCACATCAGGGTGCATCCACACATTATTAAAGGTCAAAGGACTTTAAAGCAGTGCAATCATTTTGAAATTTTGATCATTTACTTATTATGCTTCATTAAGTTGTTATACAAAATTTTATTAAAATAAAACCATTTAAACTGGGTGTTCGGATTTATATGTCACTTAGTATATGTATACACAATTTCGGAAAAAAAAATTTTCTTCGCAACAAAAGGTGATATACACATCCGCTTTGCTAACGTGTGTTTTTCGAATATCGTAGGGACTTTGTTCAATTATTTACAAATAAGAAATGTTTGAATTTGTTTAGAAGAAAAAACCTAACCCCTTCGCTCTTCGCATAAAAAATAACATCATAACATCTTTCGGAGAGACTTGTGATTGTCGGCAAGGTAAACTCGTGTATGGTGCTATACGAGGGTGGTCCCAGAAGTACCCGGCCTGACCTAGAGATGGCGATAGTTGTTTGAAATTAGCAACAAGTGCCAAACCTGCATTTTGCCTCGGTTTTCGGCCATAACTTTTTTGCTAATAGTAGGATCTTTTTATGTGTGGTCTCCTTCTTCATATTGAAGAGCGTTTTCGTTCCTGCCAACACTTTCGATTGAGTCCCAAAAAACGCGTTTTCTCATTCTCGTCGAATAAAAAGTTTTTCCACAAAAATTGGTGTACCCATTGTATGCGTCCATGAACAACCAGAGTTTACAATTATTTCTAAGAAATTTGCTAATATGACTAATAGCCATTCTACGCCTTTTAATAAACACAGAATCGAATCCATTCAAACAGCGGAATTTTCAGTAAAACAATGCCAACAAAACGCAAACTACGGTGAATGCGAATACGGCGATGAGGCGGTGTACTTTGATAGGAACGACTTTGTGAAATTCGCGCCGTCAGTGCAGACCTCTTGCTGCCATCAAGAATCAGAAGAAAAACGTTGCTACCTCACGGTGAATGGCAAGGAAGAGTTGCCGTCAGTGCACGGGGTCAAGTACTGTCTGTCAGAGACAGAAAAACACGTACGGCACTCATCGCTCAGAAGCAAGGTGGTACTGTCCAGGGATAAGGTGAAGTTCTGCAAAGGGATCAACGGAAATGTGAATCCAGTGACTATAAAAAATGTCTCGGCATATTGTACGTTACCTAAAAACCCGAGGAAAGTGGGCGAAAATCATCAGCACCACACGAGGCACGCAAATCCGCCCAAAGGGTTACCCCTGATGGAACGCATATCTATTATTGGTGTGACTTGAAAAAAGAAAATGGTAAGAACTTGGCAGTACTTTAACAATTATTTAACAAAGACTGCGATATATGATAATAGTGACGTAGTTACTAACACTTTATAAATTGGTATTTAGGTATCATGTTGAGGTGGGTCTCAATGCAAATGAGTGTATCAGGCGATATAGAGCGAATGCTATCACTATTGGAACGTTTGGGTTCATTTATGCACACGACTTGCGTTGCGCGTTGATGTTCAATAAAAAGGCGTCCATTTGCAGAAAGGGGTACATAGATAGATATTTATTGAGCCAGATAATGTACAATGACATTTTTGGTTTCTCCAATATTGTCGAGTAATACTTTCGCGTGGTTGAATAATTCTACAGTATAGTATTTCTGATCCTAACTGAAATTGATGAAATCGTTTTGCAGTCGAATCTGTTATTAAATACCGTACATGAAAAATACCGTTTGTATGCAGTCCGAGTCATAGGAAGTTGAAGGACAGCTGGAACCACCTGTTGACGATAGTACACTTCTAAATTAAATATATTAAATGTTATACTAAGTGACATATAAATCCGAACACCCAGTTTAAATGGTTTTATTTTAATAAAAGTTTGTGAATGTATTTATCTTACTGTAAATAACAAGTGAAAAAATTTTCAGCCTATCAGTTGGACATTCCGTTTTTATACTCTTTTTTTTAATTCACTAACGCTCTAAAAATGAATATTTCAGCCACAGTAAAGAATCAACGTTGGCGGATTTTGGTTCTTGACATCCTTTACGATCGGTTACGATGCCTAGAGTACGGAGACCTGTACGATTTCGTCAACTTAGTGAGTTTGATAGGGGCCGTATAGTGGGACTTCGGGAAGCTGGACTTTCTTTTCGGGCAATTGCAGTTAGAGTGCAAAGAAGTGTAGACACTGTGGTTAGGTGTTGTCAGGCGTGGCTTCGAGAAGGCCGTACGCAAAGAGCAAGGGGCACTGGACGCCGCCGTAGAACAACAGACCGTGAAGATCGCCGCCTAAGATTATTGGCCTTAAGGGACCGTTTCTCCACTACCAGGTCCATTGCAAATGAATGGTTTGCAGAACACGGAAGACCTATTGGCATGCGAAGTGTTTACCGACGAAGAGAAGTTTTGGCTTGTTTTCATACCGGCCACACTGGGTCCTCCCTTTAACTCGAGAACACCGACGTAATCGCCTTGAGTGGTGGAGACAACGGTCACTCTGGGATCAGGAATGGAACAGTATTGTCGTTAGTGGCGAGTCTCGATTTTGTTTAGGCATGCACAATGGTCGTGCCAGGGTTAGAAGGCGACGTGGTGAAAGGAGGAATCCACAGTTTTTTGTTGAAAGACATGTTCATCACACCGTTGGAGTTATGGTTTGGGGTGCTATAGCTTATGGTTCCAGGTCACCTTTAATCTTCATCAGAGGTAACATGAACGCGCAGCGTTATATCCACGAAGTTTTAGAACCCCATCTTTTACCCTATCTTGACACCTTGGCAGATCCAACTTTCCAACAAGATAATGCCCGACCAGATGTTGCAAGAGTCACAATAGACTTCTTTCAACATAATGATGTCACATTGTTACCATGGCCACCAAGATCTCCCGACTTATCCCCAATTGAGCACGTGTGGGATATGATGGGTAGGAGATTGCTCAATTTGCAACGTCCTCCTCAGACTCTAGAAGCACTTCAAGAGGAGTTGGTGGTTGCCTGGAATGAGATACCACAGGAGGACATTGACCACCTGATCAGAAGCATGCCTAGGCGCGTTGGAGGATGCGTAGCACATCAGGGTGCATCCACACATTATTAAAGGTCAAAGGGCTTTAAAGCAGTGCAATCAATTTGAAATTTTTATCATTTACTTATTATGCTTCCTTAAGTACTTATACAAAATTTTATTAAAATAAAACCATTTAAACTGGGTGTTCGGATTTATATGTCACTTAGTATATATACAAGTGAGCCAGTATTTGAAATGTGGGAATAGCTTGTAACATATTGATTCTACGTCACACCACTCTCGGTAACAATAAGAGATGTCTCCACCACAAAATATATCACATACAGAACAAATCGCATTGAAAGATTTACACATACAGCTTAAGAGTAATTTACACCCAATGTTTGTATTACAAATGTCAGGATAAAACAAATTCTGACACTGAAGACCTAACTTGGGGACGCGAAAATGAATTTTACTTAATATTAAGAGGCAATCAGTTTGATTGTTCGGTACTTTATGGAAAGATCTTATCACCGATATTTCGCGCCTACGTTGTAACGACTCAACTTTAAGGATTCTTAGCACTGCCAAAAGGTTAAAATCTCCCAAATAAAATTATTTAAGTGCCTTACGTTTGCCCTGAATTTTCTATACGTAGTAGACCAGATGACAGATACGTGCTCCAGCTTACTCCCAATAAAAGACAGATACAATGTTGCGATGAAGCAGTGAAGCCGGACCTGTGTTCATCATATGAAGGAGTCGTTATCCAGTGTCAGTCTAACATCGAAAATGGCACCTAAATTCTTATAAATCGAGATTCGCTCATACAGGTTACCATCATTGTTATAGTTATCGTATTATAGAGTATATTCAGATAAGAGATAGACCGGACATAAACAAGTCCACGTGATCATCGAACGCTGTAACATTCGGCAGGGACGTATTAAGAGTCACACTATTTTAGATAGTAGATGCTGCTTTGCGTAACTTTGTAGTAAATTAACACAGTTCGATGTGTATACGATTGGTGATGGATATAGGATCATGTGGGGGTGGGGTAAGAAATATATAATGATGTAAATATACATAAGGGTTTCAAAATTTTCGCTTCGATTTCCAGCTTCGGATGCCGCCTGATGTTTGGTGAAATACAGTCGAATATAATCTCAAAATGGCGTTTAAATTAGCCTAGATTAAAAATAATCGTACATCTCTTAAAATTGCTTTTAGAATATTGATTAGTAGATTTTTTGATTTCTAGGTAAATATGTAACCAAATTAAAACGTTCAAAACGTAAAAAAATGTGCATGGTTGAACATTGTCAGAAAGTAGATTCTTGAATAGGTTTTGCCAAAATGGGTTCAAAAATGTTTCAAAAAATGCTTCAAAATAATTACTTATAACTTACCGAATTTGATGAACGACACTTTTATTGGAAAGATGAGCTTGATGAGCTTTCATCATCGCTACTGCCTGAAGCACCAACGTCAATAATGAATGGCTCGACTTGTTCCTCTAAAATATTGTCCAGTTCCCACATTCTCTTTTCAACTTTGTCTTTCACGTGCTTAATACAGTTTTCCCATTTTTGCGCTGTTATTAATTCTAGTGCTTCTTTGAAAAGTCCTTTGAGGTCACAAAATTATTTAAAAGTTGTATTGTGCTTAGCTATATAATTTTTAACCTCTGCCCATATGAGCTCAATGGGATTGAGCTCGCAATGTATGGAGGTGAACGGAGCACAGTTTTATTTTGACTTGCTGCCATTTCGTCAATGGCGTATTTTTGATATTCCGCCTTGTGATCCTTGACAATTCTTAATAATTGTACTTTGCATTAGCATTGCTTCTTCAAAGTTGATATTTTTCGAGCGGAGCCAATTTTGAACATCAACTTTCCTTGAAGCCGTTGTTGGGACCTTCTCCATTCTTCGACAATGATAAGGCGCACTATCCAACACAATTACTTACTGCGTTTTCCCTCTAAGTTCGGTAAAATTTTGAAAACCACTGTTCAAACGATTCGCCATTCATTTCCTCGTGGTATCTCCAGTTTTCTTAGACTCAAAGCACCACAGACCGTCAACACAAATCCATCCTCACTGCCAATATGGCAGATAATGAGCCTTTTCCCTTTACCTGGAATCGAAGTACTAACTGGTGTAGATTTATTTCAATAAGCGAACCTTTTTCAAATGTTTTCATCACATTCAGCGAAAAATATTGAGACATGAGTATCAGATTGCTATAATTGGGATTATTTAGTCATATTGAAAGAAAGAATATTGAACGTCGTATGATTACTCAGCGCTTCACAATTTAATTTAAAGTTATAAACCTTTAAAAAATGAATGATCAGGAACCTGAAATCGCGCAAATATTAATATTAACAAATTATAACTTTATAAAGCTTAAAGTATGAATTAAAATGATTAGAAATATTAGAAACGGTACACAATATAAAACTTAGTAACTTTTTTTAAGTTTATAATATTCGACATATTTTAAGATTATATTAAAAATTATTGAAATATCGAAAACACATAAAAACATGGCTTAAAAAGTTCTAACAAATGAAAATGACAATAAAACATCCACGCATTTTATCGAAAGTTATAAAAGTTTTGTTACTTGTAATATGTTTTATCTGCCCCCTGGAATTAATGTTTAGAACCTTGTTCCCAAGGTTTGAAAAACATCCGATTGTCGTCTATTACTCGTATTTACCTGCTGGATTTTTTAATCCGGTGGACAATCCATCTAGAAAGGCCCTCCTGGATGAAGTTACAGAATCATCAACCCATACTTTACTTGTAGTGTGTCCTGCGTTTACCCACGTTTCATCAAGGTAATAAATCTTCCTGTTTTGATTTCCATATTTCCCAATTTTTGTTAAATAATCCCTCCTCCATAGCACAATTTCTTCTCTATCCAGTAGTAAACTATTACGACCCCGTTTTTTCCATTTGAAATTTAAATGCTTCAGTAACGCATGGAAAGTTGATCGTTTGAAATTTGGCAACGTTGTATCTCCATTTACCTCCTGCAGTACTTATCTATAGTAGGTATTTCATTCCTAAAGAAGAATTCATGCACTTCCTCCTAATCGCATGCTTATCAGCTTCATCCAATGATTTAACAATACTTTTGCGATATTTACTGGTCATTGGCTCAGAAAAGGTGTGATTTTTTTGTATTGTCTCTTGCGCTCGATCTTATATATATTCAAAATGACCTCTTTCATTTCTGCACTCAGGTGTCTTTTTTAGAGCGTTTCCTAGGTGGACTACAGGAGTTTACAAGTTCATCGGCAGTATCTGTACTACTGGGCATTTTGCGCAAGCAGTTGATAACAATAACAATCAATAACAAGGTATAACAATAACAACGACAAACTCAACAACTTAATAAGATAACAAACGAAAACGTCCAAACAAATATCAAATTGCAATGATGCACACGACATACGTAACACGTCTGAACCTGAATGTGACTCTGCCTTGATACGACTGCTCTGCCGCTCGGCATAGGCATTTAATTGCGAATTGACCAATGAGGGCTAATGTTTTACGTCGAGACGGCGGCGTTAGCGTGAAAATCAGCCGAACCTTTTGTTTACATCCGGTCTATCTCTTATCTGAATATACTGTAGAATGTAGTTTTCTAGTAAATGACATGGACCTTGCGTTTTGGAATAATAATATCAAGTAGATTCCTAGAGCACCATAAGTGGGTACAGTTCACGCAGTTTTGCAACAGAATGATGATATTAATATTGTTAATAACAGGACATTTTTAAATCATCGGCATAAAGTAGATGCATGTATGGCAAAAACAGCGATAAATCATTGGTGAAGATTATGAACAACAAACTGTATTTCAAAAATGTATGACGTTAATGCACTTTCTCAGACCTGATTCTCTTAAAACAAAAGTTCTGAACCTTTGAAAAATTCAACAAGTTCAAGAACATAAATAGTTTATATAGGTACCTATCTACCTATATATCTATCGATCTTGAAATGAGCAAATTACAAAACTGGATCCAGTATTGTTCCGAAAATGTAGACATACTACCAAGCCGCTCAATTTCTCATGTAAAGGGTAAATTACGCACATCGAGTACGTGAGATATCAAAGCATTCAACAGGTAATCCTGATGTTGAACCTGTAAGTGACTGATTTGCCTGTGTAGCCGTATAGCTTTGAATATAGAATTCAGGAATATAAACAAAATCCGCTATTCAAAAACCTGTAAATAACCAGGCCGATAATATCACCGTTAGCTGTAATGTACATCGAGAGGTCTTCGAAGGTTTTTGAAGGTTAGTCGAATGGATAATGAACAATAATGGCGTAGTGTTTAGTGGTCATCTTTGACATTGAGAAGATTTGCACTACATTTTATAACTGTTATGTTACTACTATTCACTAGTCTAGCTAAATCTCCAAATTGTGGTTCCGTATTTTGTAAACATGACCATCAAAAAATACATACAAACTACTGTGATACAATGGAGAATGAGTGATCTTACAGTTCTTTTTACAGATGTTCGCAGGTTCGTACATACAAAAAAATTATCCCCTCTCGACAGGCAAAGCTTACTATTGGAAAAAAGTTGCGCATTCTATAATAATTGCGAACATGCCTATAGGTAGATTTCTTGTATCCAACATAAATCAGGGTGAATGCCCACCTATTTAGGAGATATCAGCAGAATACTCAGACGCATTGTTTGTTCCTAGTTCTAGAAGCAAAAATATTGGTATAAAAAATTGTGAGATGTAGTTACATGCGCTATGTGAACTGATAAAAGTTACAATGATGAATAAGCGATTCTGGACACATGTTACCACTAAAGCTATCAGACACGATTTTGGGAGATTAAATTTTATTAATTAACACCGCAGCCGAAACCGCTCTGGAGGGATTCAACACGTTTTGTCAGGACTCGTCCTTGATTATTTTGATGTTAACATTCCAAATCCTCTTCCTTCTATCTCCTACGTAATAGTTTTTGCGAATGTTTGTGGTCAGTCGACTCTAGAATTTGGTTAATTAGGACTGCCTTGTTCATTAGTGGATATATACTAGCTGACCGGAAAAATACAGTGCTGATTGATACGGAAAGCCCAAACTTCACAAGATGAGCATTATTTCTAAGCAAAGGCTATTTGAATAAACAAAGTGAAAATGATCATCAAAATGATCTGCAAATAAAATGTGAATACTCATCTGTACACCTCTGTCAACCAATCGTTTTGAATTGTTGAACACTATTTTGTAACATAAACTGTGCTCAATGCCATTGGTGTATTCAGAGTGTTCCATAGTTAAAGAACTTAGTGAAATGGTAGATAGTATGGACCAAGGCCTTTTCATATCTGAAAACAGAAAAGTTTTGAATTATTAAGTTTTTAGGGATATTTATTTAAAGGCTCCAAGTATTTAATATCACATATCTTAGACAGTACAGGACCGATTTTGTTGAAGTGTTGCGTAAAACGGTGAAAAAATCCAGGGCCGGACTCGCCTTATTACTTTTTGATTTTTAAGCTTGATAGTGAATTGATATTGAATTGTTAACCTATGTACCAAAAAGCCAATGAATGATGCTGAATACTTCGCAAAATAGGTTGATTTGGCTGATGAGTTATTATTTATTCAAATATCTTATTTTTAGCAGTTTATGTGACATAAAATTCAAAATTTCAAGGGTTGTCAAACTGGTTCCAACAACATTTTACAGAATAATGCATAATTTGAACTAGAGAGAATTTTGAGAACCTAGTCGGGCTCAGTTTTTTTATTGCTATATATCTTGTTGAGTGCAACGACCTGTAAGTTGTACTCTGAATGTATTAGTATTTCGCTGTAAAACAGCAATACGTGTAAAAAATAAGACTGAAAATTAATTTAGTTCTTCAATAATTCTCTTATGATTGCCTTGCCTCAATCCGACCCTGGAGTATTGATTTCGAAAAACATATTTGATCCAATTTCGAGCATTATCTTACGAAATGTGGATAAACCTTGAAATTTTGAGTTTTGTACTACCTAAACTGATAAAAATCAAATATTTGGGTAAATAAATATTTTGTTTAAAAACCAAAAGTTAATCATTGACTTTTTTTACATAGTGGAACATTTCAATATACAGCTTAAAATGTGAAAAAAATCGAGCACGGATCCCGGTTTTTTTAATCTCTGTCTAATTTTACGTTACTCCCAGGTAATTTTGTTATCGTGCCAAATTTCAACAAAGTCAGTTCGATAGTGCCTGAGAAAATGAATTTATAACTTTTTTATTTCCAGAAAACAAAAACAGATTCTTCAAAAAATTCTTGTATTTGAACTGACAAGCACTATTAGCAGTATTGTCCATTCTGAGTCTCCTTTCGGTAGTTCTAATATAACCAACTGATTGAGCTGACTAATCGCGCACAAAAATACACATCTTATTGTGTTTGTATATACAATATCTCACTTGACTTGTCTTATATGTACTTCTTCTTGTTCGAAAACACCATGGGAAGGACAAGGATCAACCGAAATCGGAAGTGCTTCTGCCGACTTGTATCATATCTTATATGACAGCTTTGATGTGGTGTGGTGTGTCTATCTGTTTTGTGGCATGACAATATATCTGTATAATCTTTTGACATGAAGCATGGCCATTTTCTGTGAATATTTTACATTTTAAGATATTATATGATTTATTGTTTGAATGTTGATTGAGGTCGAGACGTTCTTTACGTTCTTAGTGGGAGTGATGGGAGTGAAAGCACGTGAAGTTGACAAATCTAGTGAGATGTCTTGCTGTGTTTTTTCAATAAATTTTGGTCGATCGCCGTGAACATCTGGATTCAAACAATGGCGAATGCAATTTATTTCGACAATGCATATTCTAAGGAGCATGATTGAATTTAATAATTATTCCTCAAGTAAATTAGACAACGACGTGACTTAAAATTAAGTGTGAACAGGGCATTCCTCATTGATGTGCTGAAACTGTAGGATATGATTCCTGAATCAATTTTATGAAGAAAATTTACGTATCTCCGCACCGGCATAATTTTTTGCACTGGGCGCGGAACTTTAAAGAAAACAAGTTTTTATTGACACGCCTTTATTAGCTAGACCTGTACGTATGTAAAGGAATCCTTCAACCTAATTGTCACCAATTTCGAGAAGTTGAAAGTGTTTACAAACATTGAATTTTGGAATTTGGAAAAAACTTGGATTTGAAAATTTGAAAAATAATTAGAATATTAGGAAATTTGGTTATTAATTCGAAGTCTGATATGTGAGAAAAAAATAGAAATTTTGAAAATTTTTTGGAAATTTCGAAATTTGAAAAAGTTTTGGAGTGAATCTAGATTTAAAGTCAAATATAAGATATACCGAAAATCAGGCACCTTTGTTGCCGTCATGAATGAAAAAAATCGAAAAAAAATATAAATAAAAAACTCAAAGACAAGCAAATCGAACAAGGTAGGTATATGATAATATTCAGGTAAAGGAGAGTTTATGCTACTGCAATAGAAAGTCCAACAATCAATTACGACCAATCGATTTGAAACAAGATCAATATAAAATTAAGGCATTAACAAAAAAATCAATATCGCAACAAAAAAATAATTTTAACATTCGATATCAATCCCACCCACGCTTTTTTACTATAACTGTTTTTTTTAATATCTTAATTTTCACATTGGTCTTCCAAACTAATTAGTCATACTTGATTGTTGGACTTTTTACTGCAGTAAAACAAACTATTTTTTACTTTTTAGTCCGATTAGCTACAAAAGCGTGTCTTTTAGTTTTTGCAAAATATAATTCATTATTTTATATCTTCAGAAGTACTTTGAATATTATTTTTATTTTTGGTATGATATAAGAGGGTATAAAATGACATATGTTAGTGTGAAAAATTAATCGTGTCGCTCGGCCAGTGGCGCCCGTGCAAGCCTTTTGATATTTTTTCTACAAAAAAGATTTTTTTAAATAAATATTTTTCCTAGTTAGCTTGACTTTTTCTACATAAAACCCTCTCAAACTGATTTGCCCTCACCGTTTTGTTAAAAACAATAAAACGATAATTAGCATTAAAAATATCAATGATGTACCAATATCTTGTAAAAGATATAACAAAACACGTATACAGGTACACCACTGGTGGCGCAATAGAATAAACCTTTCATACTAAACTAAATCATTTTACATCGTTTCAATCATAAAAGGATTTTTCAAAAAAATATAAAAAATATTTATTACTAAACTAAACTATACTGAACTTCTCATACATTCAACAACCTTGAAAAATTTAAACTATCGCGTACATATGATCACATTAACTTACCCTTATAAAATGATTTAAAGAATCATATACCGCAATACTAGCACGTAATTAAGGAACACCATGTACAGCTATCTATTTTTACAAATTCCAAGATCATTTTCGTATACACAATATTCGTTCGAAACATTTCAGTCTTGTGTTTTGAATAAAAGTGCTAGGCATATGTTCGGAAATGTGCCATGGCGTGCTCCTATATCTATAGCTTAAAGTTTAGATATTTCCAGGAAATTTCACTTCATGTGCTTTAAACTGCATCGAGCTTTACAGTCGACCTGCCAGTTTTGTAACAAATGGTGTGAGTTTTTGTTTCATGGAGCAAGTATCACCATCTTTCTCTTTATAGTGCTTATAGTCCAGTCCTTAGTTCAAGTCAGTAAAAATGTAATTCTTAAATGCTATTTTCAATATTGTAATCCGGTCTTAGAATTTTATGCCGGCCATCATACATAAAAACCATTCCTAAAATCAATACAGGATTGAGTAATTTTTCACATAAGTACTTCGATGAAATATTTATGTTGCCTTCCAAAAGTTAATTCAAAGTGCTTTCACTTGGCAAAGTCGAAAAATTTGCTCTCCACAGTTCAAACGTAAAACTTTGTAACCTTATATTAGATTATGTTTCCGTCAGATGCGAACGAAATATCCTTGATTTTCTAACGTTGACAGTTAAGTGTTAACGGTGCATTACGACAAAAAAAACTCCTTCGATGGAATTCTCTTCAAGTATACATAGTGTTACATAACGATAGGCTGTAATCACAAAGGCGCATTTCTCAGGCAAATTCAAGCAGAAAATTTGATATTATTATATGCCTCAAAAAGTCTGATTTTCTAGATACATGGTGTCAAAAAAAATGATCTTTTAATAGCACCACATGTCGATTATGTTGAATTCCCGCAGTATTGCTCACTGTGAAATTAGCACTGACTAAAAGGAGGGGTCTCGGTAGCAGTCTCACTGAGGATGTTGTCATCAAAAAGTAAGCCGCTGATTTTTTTGGAAAACTTTTGTTTATTGGTTGGCTATCAAACCATTTACGCTCGCGTATATGCTTACCACATTCGAGTATGTGATTCATTGCAGTATACGCAGTTCGCGTACTCTCTCTTTCCTTTTATCTTCAAAAACAGCCATGCCCTGTGAGGAACTATGCAGTATAGTGATCTATCCGCACCGCTCTCTTCTAAATGCGACACAAAGCGCCTCTCCTTCGTCGCTTGTAACTGCGACGGCCTTTTTGTAGAGTGCATATCTATCCGCAGCCAGCAAAACAATTGGCGGGATACCAGCTAACACCAGCAGTGTATCGGTCGACACCGTACTGTAAGCTCATACCACGCGCAGCACTACTTTTCGCTGGCTTCTAAGTGTTAGCTGTTTATATTTCCTTTTTCTCAAGGCCTTGTTATATATAGGAGATCCGTCAGATGACACTAGCCGTATCAGACATTGAATGACCTTATTTACCTTGTCAGCGATTCGCCTTATCTGTTCAATCATTTTTAAATCTTCGTCAAGCTACACACCCAGTTATTTAATTACATTTTGGCTCCTTTGGCTTCCTTATGCCAAGAGCCCTTGAAGCGTATCTCTCTCCCTGCTAATCACTATCACCGCAAGATCGCTTGTCAGATCAGACGAATTCCCGGCAGCATATGTAACCTAAGAACCACATCGTGGATCACGTTCCAAAGCAACGACCTAGGACGGAGCCCTGCAGACCTCCCATGGTTACGTTCACCGTTTTCTGTTCTACCATAACTGTCCTCTCGTCAAAGTAGCTCTTCGTCATGTTCAATGGATAGCTAGGATTGGATAGCTTCTCGAACAATTCGAGTACTTTCTGCCATTGTGCCATGCTGAAGGCATCCTCAACATAAAAATCAACCACAATGTAAAGCTTCTTCCACTACTGCCGCCAGCTGTGCCGCTGAGATTTCCTTTCTGAAACCATATTGCGAGGGAGGCAGCCTATTCGTTTCCTCGACATATTTTCTTCGCCTACCTTCTATCAATCGTTCTAGTAGCTTGTAAGTGAACTCAGCATACACACCTATTTGACTTCCTACGAGTGGATTTCGAGGGCGTCAGGATAAGTACCAACCCAGTGCCCTTCCACCTGTTCGTAAAGACTCCCGTTCTCAACCACGTATATTCGACTATATTGGATAAGACCTTCCTTAGACAACCTGTATATAGAAAAATTCTTGATCGAAAAACTTTTTTCCAGACTGTCTCACAATCAAGTTAGAGAGAGGTCAATTCATAGTAACATACGGTGGTTTAAATCATCTGGTGCAATTTATGGCCAGTACTGAATATTACTTTGTAACGATGTTGTACAAAATATATACTTTCTAGAAAGGTCTATTTCTACTTATTTATTGGAACGGGATAAGTTAGCAAGCTGATGTTTCGGATAATGACAAATAACAATTGAAAACTTCAGGATTCCATTTTTTAAATGGAAAAAGGGGCCGTGTGATACCTTATTTTGAGACCCTCATGAACACATACCTTATAACTGTAGAACATAAAATGAAAATCGCTATATGTCAAAGTAGGAGAATGTCAAAGCTGAGTTTTTAGTATAAGAAAATATAACAGATTTTGACTTTTCGTTTAAACGGAATATTTCATATTTTATTGCACATTTGGATAGGCCCGTTCAAGATAAGAAGACCAATATAATACACTATGTTTTGATTGTTTGTCAAGTTCTAAGCGACTCCTTGTACAAAAGCGCCCAACTTTGATGGCCTGTAAGATCACCATTTTCAAAGATGGTGATTTTATATCTAGGAATAAATAGCTTCAAAATTCTAAAATTGAGTCCAATCGCCTCATAAAAATTTCAACTGCAACTTTCACGATAAATTACAATATTCATGCATCAATTTCATTAGCCCGAATCAGCTTACCTACTTTTCCCGTTTAAAGAATAAGTATGGGGTCCTGTTTGAAAAGTACTATATACACGTAAAAATCAGCTATAAGAACTTAGATTAGTTCTGTTTACTTACCTTTCTCACCTCGTAAAACTTAACAGGTACGCAGATGTACATATAAACGCTACTCAATGTCCCATGTTTTGTCTTTCAAAAAATAAATTACGTCATACAGCCTTAGGACGGTACTCTATAGTGCCCAACGGGTTGCTGCTTTGTGATGCCGCAGAATTCTAGGATTATTCTGGATAATGACCACTTCAAAATAAAATATTTCCATAGCTTCTGTATCATCTTTGACTTCACCATACAGCATATCGACCATGTCTCGAGGTTAATATCAATTTATAAGGATCTACGAGTATATATCTCGTTAAATGTTTCCTCCATTTAAAAAAAATACATCACCTTTGAACAGTGATAGTAACCAACTCCGCTAGAATTTCCTCAGCAACAGACGTAGTTAGTAGTTTTCCCGTTTTCCTGAACTAACGACTGGACTTTTCTACTTCCAAGTGCACTTCATTTCAATCTGCATTCAGGTGCACGGTTACAGCTGCTGCAAATATATTTAGCAAGTTTCTAATGCCGCTGCTACGAAATATGAAGGTGCGCATTTCGTTGGGTGCTATTGAGATTTTAATTACGTATCAGAACCGATGGCGCGATACAGTGCTCCGCTTACCAGACGGCAGTATGATTACTTCTTTGTTTCGTTAAAAATTTGTTAACTTTTCTTTTTTTTTTTGATGTGTTAACTTTTTGCAAACGAAAATTAATTGAATACACAGTTTTCTCATTACTATGTATATCTGGGATAAGAAATCGAATACATTCTTAATCCCAGTCGATTTGTATTTATGGAAAAAACCAAAAGAGATCCTAATTTCAACGAAACACTACATTCATTCATACAATATTCATTCCTAGAGTTTTGAGTAGAAAGTAGGACTGCGATGCCTCATTTGAAAAACACTTCAATTGTTTATTCCGCAATGTTATTATTTTGGATTATATCTCAAAGGTAAATAGATTTAAAATACTTGTGACACAAAGTAAGCTTTCTTATTAATATGTTCGCTACATTACATTTGAAGCTAAGAGTACTCTCAAACCAAGAAACAATAGTAGGTACTGCAATCATCGATTTGTCTGACCAACCGCCTACGGCACTGTTTCATTCTTATTGGTAATCATCAGTACGATCTAAGTCTCTCAGTGGGTCAACAAACAAAAGAAGAGCAAGAACATTCTCTATCAGGGGTATACAGGATGTTTATTTGAAAACCTCCCACCAGAGATTCATCGAAGACACGTCAAAACTACTTCACTCCCTTTCATTCTCGGTTCCCCAGGGTCATTCCCATAAAAATGAAATAAAGATTGATATTTTTGTTTTCTATTTGAACAAGTTAAGATAAATAACGATTTTTCTAATTTTCTCAAAAACGAATCGACTGTTTTGAAAAAAATAAACGTCAAACTAAAGGACTTCAAAAGACCTTTTCAACCAGCTATTACTCGATACCCCTTGTCCTTTAAAATTTTTAAGGGGATGACCCTGGTGGGCAGAGGATGAACTGTGGTGAAGTAGTTTTTGGTTAATAATGGTCCTCTTTAACAAATCTTTTAACGTGTTGCGGCGTTTTTTCTTTTGATCAGTGGTTTTTGATAAATCCGTGGTGGGAAGTTTTCAAATGAACACCCTCATAGCCCGCTGTGAATGCAAACTGGAATAGATTTAAGATTTCCATAAACAGCTACTGTTCGCTTTTGCAATGATGTATTCTGGTAGTAGATGGCACTTGTGCTATAGTATTTCGATGGATGTAAAAACATAATATACAACTCACTTTTACTTAGCGTTGAAATGCGATGCAGAGAACCTCATTACGAATAAATTTTTCCACAAAGATATATTTTTTTAATAACTGCTGCAATATAATTTAAAACATTAACATCGATAACAAAAAACACATTTCAAATGGTGAGTCGCAAGCCTCTACTTCCTAAGTGGTTCCGTTTCAGTTTCTAGCTTTTGATAAATCTAAACATACGTATTCGAAAAAATTATATAGAAAAATCTATTGGAAGTTATCGGTTATTTTTAACAAAGAGTTTCTGTCAATTGTTCGAAACTGACAAAAAATCGTTATTTGAAAGAACCTGATGAAATCAATGATTGTTTAAAAGTAAAATACCCATATCAAATCACACTAGTTTTTTTTATTCGTTCGTTTACTTTAACTACCTAATTTTTTCTGGCGGAATCATATCTGTTAAGTATACTTGCAGCATGCTCTGTAGC